TGAGTTCCTACTATGTGCCAGGTAGGGTATTTCTGTCTTCAAGGAGCTTGTCTCTCAGAGAATCAGTCAATGCATAAGCAATTGTAAGAGATTGAGTTCAGTGAGACAAAGCTGTTTCAGAGATTTAAATGGAGGCCAGAAGATGAATAAGGAGAATATACAGAGAGCACCCCGGAGAAAGGGCAGGAAAAGCAATGATGCAATACTCCCTGGGGCTTTCTGGGAACCTCCTGCCTCACCAGAGAGCCCCTGCACTTTCCACCTCTGGTCTGTGATGCTCCTGTAGAATTCTTGGTTGTTTACAAGGGGCACTAAGGACAATTTCACTTTGAGCATTATCAGACCTGCCTTCTCCATCATCTCTACATTTTCTAATGAAGAGGCATATATGTACGTAAATAAAGAATTACACATGCAAGCCTAAAGACTCTTAACTAATCTTTCCTCTGATTTTGGCCTGTAGACCAGGAAAATTGAGTCATATGAGCTGGGCCATTCTCCCTGCCACATTAATTTTCCATGTATGGATTTCCCTTATTAGCTTTCAGACATGATATTTCCTCCCTTAATTATAGTATCTTAGGTAAAGTAGATGTTTTCACTTAACCAGTAACTCAGCCCTGCATGTTCAAGGGTAAAGGGTAGAATCGCACACATTTGTCACCCTGATTTCATAGGTTTGGCTTTGCTTGTTATTCATACAATTAGCCACTGAAGTGTGTTGAAGAATATTAAATGTGGATAATATTTTTTTTACCTTTAATGGGGTTATATGAAATTTTGGTTTTGAGTAGAAAAGTAGATCATTATACAAAAACATGGTACCTCAGTTCTAATTATATGAGAAAGAAATAATGCCTACTGATTAATGCAGAAGACACAGAATCAGTGCTGCCTTAAAGCCATAATAACCAAAATGAAAAACAAAAGGTCAGCCTACCTCCCAAGGGATTTTTCTGCAATGCTATATTATGACTTTGGTCAATCTTCATAATAGTAATGTTGAAAATGAGTATGGTATTTTAAAAAGGTGCCATGAAATCAGCCCTGAAGATTTATCTGTTTATTTATCTTGTGGCTGGTTCATTTGGAAAGACAAAAGAAAATGTTTCCTTAGTAAGATCAAGTTCTACCATATTCAGTTAAACCCTAATCTGTATTTATAGGTGAAAAGCAATACTTTTTCCGGGAAGAGAGAAAATTCCTTAACCTCTTTGCGAGAGAGAGAGAGAGAGAGAGAGAGAGAGAGAGAGAGAGAGAGAGAGAGAGAGAGAGAGAAGAATCTAGATATTTCATCAAATAATCAAACTGCATAGATTTCTTAATTTAATTCCCCATTGTGGTAGAGATATACAAGTAGCCCCTAAGGGAACAGGATCATTTCTAACCTAGCAAGACTTGACAATAAACTCAGTCTATTAACACAGTACAAGAAAAGACAAGTCCGTTCATCACAAGGGAAACCAGTCAGCAAAGGGAGCCCTGGAAGAACAGATTCCAGGGTCAGTAACAATCACACGGTGCTCCCAAGTGCGTGCCAGCTGAGGGAGTATGATGGGACACACCTGTCATGCTCTCAAGCCACTGGATTCTTATGTAACATAACTTGTTGGGCCAGATTCTATTAACATTATAGCTTCTCAAAGATAGAGTTATAACTCTGAAAAGAACGTGCTTATCAGGGTTGTCATCATTTGTTTGCTCATCAGAGTTTTCATTGATAAAAACAGATTACCATTCTAGATCACACATCTACTTTCTTTCTCTTACTAACTCAATCTTCCTAAATGGATCACTTCTGGAAAGTTAAGACTGAGGAGCTTTTGTACTTGCAGACATTCTGCTTCATCCCAGACTTTGCTGAGTCCATGGGTTGGTGGATCCTTTGGGATCCACTGGAATGTCCCGATTGCCTTCTGGGTCATGCTTTTCCTTTCAAAATAGCTAAGTCTTGCTACAGATTGCATTTCTGTTAAAAAGTCTGAAGTAAATCCCTACCTTTTAATTAGTTCAAGTAAAAAAAAAGTTAAATTTGACTTTCACCTTAGAAACTTACTTATTCCCTATGTAGTGTATTTTTTTCCACTGTGCTGACTATGAAATTTTCCTCTCATATTTCATCAAGTTAGACTAAAGCACTTTTCCTTATGTACTCCCTATTTTGAATAGCATTGTTTCTCCTCTTCAGTTTAATACAATTCCAACCTATTATTCAAAGAGTAATTTATGTTCCACTTTCTCCAAGAAACCTTGCCAATGGTTCTGTCCTAATTTCTCCCTTTACTGAATTACAGAAACAGATAAGGTATCATGGAACTTTCAATTAATTACACTCCAATATTTTACTAACTTCTACTGCTCTACATGTGTTACTGCTTCCTGCCCCACTTATATTTTCTCTGGAAAATGTGGAAACACAAACAAAATAGTGAGTGGTAAACTTTAAAATAGCTATCCATGCTTTTTAAGTTGGGTTTTTTGTTTTTTTGTTTTTTTACTGTCACCATAGAGACTAAGCACAGAATAAACCAGAAATAAATATTGCTAATTGGATAGGGTTTTGTAAATTGGAAGCACAAAAGCACCAGTAGTTCTAAAAACCCATTCGTTCATTTAACAAAAAGAGATTTTCATTTTATACGCTACTCAAGTTTCTAGTTTCTTCTAAAATAGATGCTAAAGAAGCATCTTCAGATTCCTATTTCATAGCTCCAGCTCTGAAACTGATTACCTAAAGTTTCCTTAATTCTCCCACCATATTTTTTAGACCATGTTCAGCTGTACAATGACCAAACTGTAAAAAGTATTGTATTTCTCAAAATAAAATTAAAAAAAAATTATATTTGTATGGCTGAGAAGTATTCATTTTACAAGGTCAATAAGCTGGGATGAAGTAATCAGAAAAACTTTATGCACAATATTCTCAGCTTCCCTTCAAACTATTGTGAATTTTTCAAACTATTGTGTATTTTTCAGAGCTGATAGACACTGAAAGGTTTTATTGTGGAATTGGCAGGAATAATGAGTGCTAAAGTCTGACACTACAATGGTCTGCTATGGTCCTCCTACTAAAAACCCCTGGTGCAATAGGTAACTACTGAATAAATGAATGACTTTGGCATACAACTGGTGTTATCCTGAAAAGTAAGCAACTAACTTTCTTGTGTTTCATTTTTTGGCACCAAGGATCAAACTTAGGGCCTTACACTTACCAGGCAGTCACTTATGCTGCTGAGCTATCTTCCTGGCCCCTCTCTTTTTTTTTTTTTTTAAAAAGGAACTCTTCAGTTCTCAGAAGAGCACCCATGAGCATATATCAATAAAACTTCTATTCTGAACTACAGCAAAGCAAAGCCAAGATGTGTGGGCATGGTGCATTGGTGGTATAGTGGTGAGTACAGCTCCCCTCCAAGAAGGAGGGTGGAAGCACAATGAAATAGCTCCAAGCACAAGGTACAGTTTTAAAGTTTTTGTCTATAAGGAATAATTTGTATTGAGTTTAAAATTTCAAAGCTCAAATAAATGAAAGCTATTTAAGTATCACATGGCTAAAGAAATGAAACACTGACTTATCTTCCAAAATCTGACTTCAAGAATGATCAGGGGATAGTTATTTTCAGGAACTTGATTTGCAAGAAAATGAGGACAGGTTCACTTTTAAACATATTGCCTCTATTTCTAAAAATTTGTGTCAGAGTTTAGGAAATACATACTTTATAATAGCTCTGTATACATGGCATATCTTTCCCTTTTTCTATACCTATTGTTATAAAGCTTCATTTGACTCCTTTCAAATCCTAAATCCATGTAGGATTTGAAGACCACTGAGTACAACTGTTTTACATTTCTACCTGTTACAATTACAGAATTGTGTATATAAATATTTAGTTCATAGAACAGCAAAAACCATTGAATAGTTATTTGTATTGGACTTGTATTGGACAAGAGTACTTAGTGACTTTTAAGCTATCAGTTTGATTTTCCAGGTAGTAAGTTAGCCTACTTTGGGTCAAAGTTCATAAGCCAAACTGATAACCAAGATGCTCCCCAGTGACTGCATTGTAATGAGTTTTCGATGAAGTCATCTATTTCCCTTCTCCTGGTCGCATACTCTACCTCCAGCTATCTAGCAGCTGATGCCCACGTGGACAGCAAGGAGGCAGTTTCAGCCCCATGAGAAATCCCATTTCATGCATCTTCGAGAAATTCAAATGTGCATGATAATACAATATATCACAGAGACAAGAGTTCGTGCCAGTAGTTACCTAGCAGTGAAATTAAAAGCACGCCCCAACGCCTGTGCAAGCTCACAGAGCAGGCAAGTGTCAGAAGCAAAGAAAGGCTTTGTCTTGGAACTGCCATACTATTCTCAAGTATATTCTGTTTTCAGTTTCTGGCTGTGAATTTTTCCTTCTAATAAATACTTAAAACACACACAGACTCCCTGGCTTTCCAAATTTCACCTCTATGTTATTCATCCCTCTGCGCTACCAAGAGTACAGAAGAACTAGCGGATGTGCTTTCTTCTCGCTCATAAGGAATATACACTTAAAGAAAAGAAAAAAAAAGCTGCTTAAAATAAAGGTGGTAAACTTCCAAAGTTCCAGGTTTGTGAAGAAAACACGTCTTGCTAATCTACATTCCCCACGGAATGGTTAGGTTTAGCAGATACACTGAAATGCAGTAAGAATACTCCAAGAAATTCTAAGCAGTTTGGATTTCAAGATGTTCCTCCTATTTCAGGCAAATGCAACAGTTCCACGGAGACTGCAGGAATACAGAATTATGTAAGGCATCACTGCAGAGTATGTGAGACCCAATGTTTCTGTGAGCACCATTCACAACTGAGCACACTGGAACGAGTAAAGGGAGGTTCCTGCGCACTAACAAAGCGCACACGCATGCTAGGGGGATGAGGACAGAGGTGGTTGGCTAGCGCTAGCGCATTCTCTCTGCCCTGGCAAAGGAGGAGGGGGAAGAAGAGAGAGAAGGCAAAGTACCGTCTTGTCCAGGCACTGAAGGCAGTTATAAGGCTTGCAGCAGCAGTGGCCCATCCCGGTAGGCTGGCTGGCAAGGGGACCTCCTGCATTCAGGGTGTCAGCGGTGACTCCTAAGCAGAAGTGCTGGCACACGCGAAAGGGGCGCGCCGCCGGGAGCTGTCACAACTTCCATGTGGTCTCCTCGGCTACCTTATTTCTCCTAATAACTTCAGGAATCCAGAAACCGGAGGAATGGGAGGAGGAGAAAGAGGAGGTGGAGGAGGAGGAGGGCCCAGCAGCAGCGTTCAGATCCTGCTGCTCCAGGGAGGGAGAAAGGGCGGGCGCCAGGCAAGAGGGAGGGCTACTTTGCCCCTGGAATCCTCAGAATGAGGCAAATCAATAGTCGCATCACAACAGAGCCTTTACCAGTGCCACCTCTCTAAGAGGACAGCCAGCCTGCTCCGAGCCGGCAGCCACTCCCAGGATGCGCCTGTGCACCACGCAGACACGCCTGGAGAGGACGCAGCACGCACACAAAAGGAGCGCTGCTACCGGGACGCTGGCCTGAGCACCGCCAAGGCGAAGAGGGACTCCCCTCTGCTCTCATCCTCCTTTCAGCTGTTTGAAGAAGTGAAAATATTTATAAACATGATAGATATGGCCCTTCCTGCCCCAGAACTGCTGTTAGAAGCATTTGCTGTCAAGGAGCAGGACCTCTTAAAAATGTGAATGCTACGATTTTTTTTTTTTTTCCTATAGCTGATGAAATTTTTACGTTCAAAACATAACTATGAACTCTCCTGCTTTGGCCGGCCATTCCCATGGAAGCCGAGCGGTTTAAGCAATTACAGTTGAGGCTTGGGGTAGGTATTTCTTCTAAGTAAATTGGCATAAAAGCTTTAGAACACTTGATTATTGTAAGCAATTTATAACATTACAGAGTCAAAGATCAAAAAGAGAAGGGAAAAGGGAACAGAAATCTTTCATTAAATGAAACTTGGTATTTAAAAATACATATATTAGGGGCCGGGGAGATGGCTCAGTGGAATAAGTGTTTCCCTGGCAAGCGCAAGGGCCTGAGTTCAATCCCCAGTTCCGCCAAAAATAAATAAATAAATAAATAAATAAATAAATAAACAAACATATTTTTATGTAATCCCGAAAGTAAGAGATGTGAATATTTACAAGACCAATTTTATATGTTCTGATACTTTAGAGGTGAAACCCTGAAATTTATTATCAGCAGAAATACACAATTACATTTTGCCAAAGGCTGTACGTAGACAAGAGTTGTTACAATTAGGTGATTTTAGTCATTTAACTGAGATTTTCCAGGCAGATTTTAAGTAAGTCTATGTGTGCTTAGTAGAAAGTCCAAGAATATTTAATCATCTAATAAGAAAAAGTAAAATGTTTGGAATGTGTGTCCTAATTTTGAAAGAATATGCACAAATCTTTCGTTAAAACTAACAGATAAAGTTAGCATAATCCTTTAGGAAAGCAATTTGTTTATAGCTGTTATTTTTTTAAATATCCATACACTTTGACCCAACACGTTCATTTCTGACCTAGAATAATATGCAAAGGTGCATGTATAAAAATATTCAACTTAGCCGGGCTGTAACAGTATGGAAAGCTCCTGAGAGTTTTTACACCTTCCCACCTTATGGAAAGGTAATACATGGTAGAGGGTACAGTCAAAATGTAAATTTTTATCCCAAAACAAAGCAAATGCATGTCTGGAATGTAACTTGGGAAACACAAACTGTTCACATAGCCAACCCTTGAGAATGGGAAATGGGATGAAGAAACTAATTTCTACTTTTTTAGTTTCTTACCAATATGTTTATTTTTACCTTTTTAAAATAAAGTATACTAAGGGGAAGGCAGGGGCTGCCTGCCTTGGGTTCTGGGATGTCGGGAAGAACTGAGTTGCCTCTCGCTAGAAAGGCTCAGGGTCCTTCATAAGTGAGATTGGGCAGAGCTCTCTGAGGGAGAGAGAGAGAGAGAGAGAGAGGGCACCTTGAGCTCTAACCTGACTTGAGAGCAATCCATGAAACTTGCAAATTCTTGGTGGCGGTGGTGGGGAATTATATTTTAACAAGTGGTAGCTAGATACTCCCGTTTTCCTAGTGTTATTCACAATAGATAACACAAGAAAGCAACTGAAGTGTCTGCTGATAAACGCATGGATACAGAAAATGGGGAATATAAATGCAATGAAATATTATTAGCCTTAAAAGGAAGAACATTTTTTCCAGTGCTGGGGATGAAACCCAGGGGCCTGAACACACTAGGCTCGTGCCCCACCACTGAGCTACACCCCCAACCCCAAAATAGAGGAAATTTGATATATGATACATTATGGATAAACCTTGAAGACGTTATTTTAGGTAAAATTGCTACATACAAAAGGACAAGTTCTATGAGTCCACTTATATAAGGTACCTTGACTCAGCAAATGCAGAAACAGAAAACTGTCCTGGAATGACAGTTGTCATGAGGGGAAGGGAGAACTGTAATGGAGTTGCAATTTTACAAAAGTTTAGACATTTCTGGAGACTGCATAACAATGTGAGTATACATAAAGACACTGCATTGTGCATTGAAAAATAGTTCAGATAACAAAAAAATTCTTGTGCATGTTTTCCATAATACAAAGTAGTAGCTTGACTTCACCTAAAGGCAAACAGTTCTTGCCCAACAGATATGGATGACGTCATGATAGAAGACAGTCCATATTTTTGGAAGGAGCTAGAGGGGGTAGGGAGGATCCATAAAACTAAACCTCTTTTCAGGATGTTTTCTCCTGGAAAAATTATCTTCCTCTAGATAATGTGCCTTAGGAGGTAGCTTCTTTCTAAGTTAGAATTTATAGTGCACTTTCCTAGGAAATCACTGCTTGCACTTGGAAGACACATGAGGACTACTGGTAATGTACATGCCAGCAAGAGCTGCAGCTGAGACTACAAAACCTGCACCAAGAAAGCTGAGCTTTGGCTTCTCTCACAGCCAAAGAACTCCAAAGCACTCAGAGCTGCTGCATGTAGCTGCCCCAAAATCGCACACATACTGTGATCTCCATCCACATAACCCAGACTCTAAGACATTTGCCAGCAGTGCAGAAGCCTGTCTGCTTTGTTATCTTTGAATGCTACAGACATTTTTATACCTACTCAAAATAGAGATAAGTACAAAGGATCCTCAGGTAGCCATTTCTAGTTTTAACAGTTACCAAGATCTTGGTACACTGATTGCACATCTATTCCATTTTTTATTTTTTTTTATTCATCTGTCACCCAGGTTCCACAATTATATAGATTTGGTCATCTTTTTCTTTTGTGGTTCTCGCTCTGTCTCTGTCTCTGTCTGTTTCTGTCTCTGTCTCTGTCTCTCTCCCCACCTCCCCATATTTGTTTTGCCTTATAGTTTGTTTGTTTGAACCAGGACCCAAACTGGATCTCAGCCATTATACTGGCTTTTAGATCTCTTGGCTGTCTTACAGACAGTCCCACTCTCTACCACTTCTCCCTTCCGCCACTGACTTGTCAGAACTGGCCCCCTGCCCTGTGGAATGTCTCACAAGATGGATTTGCCCTGCAGTGTCTGCATTCCTGTATCCCTTTAAGTGAAATTTGGTTCTCAAGTCTGGGTTAGATTCAAGTTCAGTTCTGGGGCACAGTAATCCTCAAATGTGATGCTGTATTTAGTCAGGAAGCATTCAGTGTCTGGTGGTTTCATTTTTAGTGAAGCTGCAGTGAATCATGATGTAATGGTCTCATCTTCTCAATTGTAAAGTTCCTCGTCAACCTTTCATCTAATGGTTTCATCTCTTTCTAATTATGTGAACTGGTTATTTCATCAGGATTGCAACACGATGCCTTGATTGCCTCTGTCTTCTTGAATTTATTAGCTGAAATTTTTATATAAAAAAGTAATTTTGGAGCTGGGAATGTAGCTCAGTGTTAGAGCACCTGCTGAACATGCGCAAGGACCTGGGTTTGATCCCTGGCACTACAAATAATCAGAATCAGAACTTTTTCTTTATCAACTAAGGTAATTTCAATTCCATGCACTATATTTTATACAGAGAAGACTAAATATTTACCTCTTTCCTTTTAATGCTGATTTTTTGAATAAAGACTTGGCATTGCAATAGTGTCTGATATTGAATGTGGTCATTCACTTTATTTTACTTTTTCAAAATAAAAATTATGAAGTGTTTTTATTTCAATATACACAATGTGTTTCACTCCTCTGTACTTACCTGTTTAGATGTTCAGTGAATCTCATTTTTAGCCTGTCCTGTGGGACCACTTCTTATTGGCCCCTGTGTCACTTGACATAGTCATTAGTCTGTCCTCCTTATTTCCTGATATAAAAAGATACCCTGGACTCACTGTGTATATTTTCTGCCACAACTGTGGAATCACTCATCTATAGACCTTGCTTCCTACTAGTGGGGATGGTAAGCAGGCACAACAGAAAATGGATGATGCTTGTGCCTGGTGAAGGTCCCCTGGAGGGAGTGAGGTTTCCCATGAAAGAAGCGATCCTTCCCACTGAGAAGCAGCCTCCAAAAAAGTCAAGCTAGAGCTTCAGGCTGGGATCAGAAGAAAACTCTTCCTTCTGGGGGAACCTTCAGAAGCTGGGGCTTGGACTCCAGGTAGAAAAAATACTCCATGAAACTCATTTGTGAGGATAAAGTGGTCCCTATAATATGTGGCAAAAGTAAGGGTCAAGAATGGAGATGCCCTGAACAAAAATTTTCCAGGAGCTGGGGAGAGTAGCTCAATGCTACAATGTATACCTAAGATATGTGAGGCCCTGGCTTTGATCCCTAGCATCAAAAAGAACAAAAATTTCTCAGAGTCCTAAAAATGCTTGGGTACCTGGGAAAAAGATTAAACTTTTTGAAGGCAAATAGAAGTAGGCTTCAGACTGCTAGAATTTGGCATGAAAAGAAAATGTGACCTCATAGACTCCTGAAATAAGGTACATTTTGGCTCCCAATACTATAAAAATTTGATATGATATTTTATTCCTGGCATGTTTTCTTGCACTAGAATAGGAACAAGCATTTAAAAAAGTCATTAGAAAGCCTAGTGGGATATTTCAGTGGAGAAAATCGCATGAACACTGTGTTTTAGAGCGGTAAGTAATTGACAACAGATGTCAGGCACAGTGCTTAGGTTTTGCACAAAATACCTCATGCAACTCTTGCAAAACCATGTGAAATAAACACTAGTATTATCTCCATTTTACAGATGAGAATATTAAGGCTCAGAGATTTTACAACTTCCACCTACAGCTAGGAAGTGCCAGCATGATTTTAAATTCTGCCTCTCATGCTCTGTATTGTTTTTTAAAGTACATTTATAAAAAATGTACAATTTACAAATAGGCATAGTAGAAACTATGTGCATCTCAATGTTAAAATCA